TGGTTTTGTCAACACATTTTAAACTAATGCATTATTGCTTTAACTGTAGTGTCTAATAATATAAATCTCTTTTCTCTTCCATCTTTTGTTGTTGTGTCTTCAAGAAGTAGAAGATAATGTTTGCATAAATCTGATTTTGCTGCTCTCCTCTTCAGATTTCCAAGAAGGACGCTGGTATTTATGAAGTTGTTCTGAAGGATGACAGAGGAAAGGACACGTCCACGTTGAATCTGACAGATCAGGGTAACTTTCCCAAAACCAGTCAATGAATCTAACGTGAAAGTCACTTTTAATGGCTTTATTTTCCTTTTTTTTCAGGCTTCAAAGACTTGATGAATGAAGTTTTCAGTTTTATTGGTAAGAAAAAGCACGTGCTACACAGATAATGGACTTTTTTATGATCAGTATATTTATTTAAATGATTGTTTTGTGGCTGTTTTGTAGCCAATTCTTCCACACCATTGAAGATCACGAGCACAGATGAAGGAATTCGACTCTACACCTTCGTCAGCTACTACAACGATTTACTCCAAGTCACATGGCACTACAAGTGGGTTTACTGTTCACTGTTTACAACTCGTCTCAGTGTTCTACTCTTACAGATAAAGCTTGTGAAGACTGCAGGAACAAGCTTTGTGTTTGCTTTCGCATGATTATTTGTGTTTTTGGCCTACCCTGGATGAGTTTTGTGTATCTCTTCTCTGACAGGGATTCTGCCATCGCCTTCTCTGACCGCATAAAGAGCGGTGTGGTCGGAGAACAGCTGTGGCTTCAGATCACCGATCCCACAGAAAAAGACATGGGCAAATACGCCATCGAGTTCAACGACGGAAAGGGCGGCCTGAGGAGAACCGTGGAGCTCTCTGGACAAGGTGAGAACTGTTTTCATGTTAGCTTTTAATGGTTTTAACATGAGTTCTGCAGAGTGAAAGACTTTTTGTAGACTTTGCAGACATTTGAAGCGTTTTCCCATTTAGGTTTCTGCCACCAGCTGTTTTACGGTCGTCCAGCGCCAAAACAAAAATGTTTTCTTCACCACTAAACCAGACAAAATGTCTTCAAATGTCTTTTCTCTTTCAGCTTTTGATGATGCCTTCGCAGAATTCCAGAGACTCAAGTAAGTTACAGCTAAACACAGCTGTAAAACTGTTACCACAGATTTACGGCCACTGACCACTTTATAAGGTGCACATGTTTAGCAGCTCATTGAAAGCAGTCATTTGTCTTCAACTCACCTGGTTTAGTTAGACATGGTCTGTAGAATTTTTAAAGCTAAAGCTAAACACAAAACAAGAAGATGAGATGATTTAAAACTCTAAAGGTAATTTCAAAACCATGAGCTGATTGGATGGTTGTTATGTTGCGGAATCAAATAACACTGATTTTTAGATACAAACATTTATTACAGGAAGTGCGCAGATATTTTAAAGTGGGATTCTGTAAAATAGTATCAATATCTTACCTGTTGTAGATGGCTGTTTGAATGTGTCTTTGCCTTTTTAAAACAACTTAAACTCCTTAAAAAGTGGCTGGTTGATGCAGCGTGATCATTCTATACACTTAGCTCACAACAGCGATAAATGTGTTTTATTTAAAGAAAATAAATGTGAAACTTTTAACACAGCTTACGCCTTTACTTTCACGTCTGACCTTTTTCTTGTACATCTTTGATTTAATTATTTATTTTTTCTCCTTTGTGTCCTCAGAGCTGCAGCTGTGGCAGAGAGAAGTAAGTGAAGTTAAACGTGATYGTTAGTGCCTGAACAAAAGTGGGCGTTTAACATTTTTGGATTTCCCTGTTCTCTGACTGATGAGGGGTAAATATCTTCAAGAACCAAGACAGGAAGTGCAGCTGTCTTCTGTTCAGGAATTTGGAATAAGTTAGACTGACTTTCCTTCATTAATAATATGGTTGAGTTAATTTAGGTGGGTATAACTTTTGAATCAACCTTTAAGCAGTTAATAAAAAATAGTTCAGACATGTTGAGCTGGGGTTGCTTCACTCTTGTAACAAACGCAATAAAACACAGAGCTCAAACAGCCCTTCCTTTTTTCCCCCTGTATTTTTACTGAAATTTACTTCGTTTTTTCCCCCCTTTTATTAAAAGATCGTGCTCGAGTAGCAGGAGGTTTGCCTGACGTGGTCACTATACAAGAGGGCAAGGTAAACAGTTACATTTAGAATTATATAAACTGCTCAGTGACATAGTTTTTTGTCACTAAAAAGACTCTTCTGCCTTCTTTAAATGTRATTAAATAAATTAGCATTGTCAGAATAACTGCATTTCACTGTTCCCACAGGCTCTCAATCTTACCTGCAACATTTCGGGCAACCCGGTGCCAGAGGTCACCTGGCTGAAGAACGACCGGGAGATCACGTCCGACGAGCACTGCATCCTGAAGTTCGAATCGGGCAAGTTCGCCAGTTTCACCATCACGGGCGTGAACACGTCGGACTCGGGCAAGTACAGCATCCTGGTGAAGAACAAGTACGGCACCGAGAGCGGAGACTTCACCGTAAGTGTGTTCATCCCCGAAGAGGCAGGCGGCAAGAAAAAATGAGAGCGGTCCAAGTCTTATCGCAAATATCTGTAAATGGCACATCCTGGGAACGGTTAAAAAGATTCTTAAAAAATATAATAAGAAAAGGGCTTGAGAATGTGTAAGATGTTTTGTGTGGAGTCGAAACAAAACCAAAGAGGTGCTGAAACTCAACCCAAATCTTTCAGATGTTCAGAAATACATTAATTATATGCATCTATTTTGGTCCAATACTTACAAACCTATTGAACATAAAAAAAGCTCAACTCCAAATATAAATGGTGCAATTTGTGTCTGTGCAAATGTGTGGCTTGCAGAAGAAAGTACATGAGCGTTACATTATTTGGCAAAGAAAAAGCTGAAGGTGACTGTTAGTATTGTGTTTTCAGATCCAAGGCTAAGCTTCAGAATAAGTTAGTGTAGAACGTTAGAAATATGAATGTTTTATACATTTGCTACATATTTTGTGGATTTCACAGCTGTTTTAAATTATCAGTAACATCTTCTTTATTGATATAACTGAAAACTTGAGCTGAACTGTTGAGTTCTTCATGGCACAACATAGCGTCCGGTTGATTATCATCACTATTTTGAGCAGTTATTACAAACATTGATGACTTTCATTCATCAGTCCCTGCTGAACTTCAGGCTGTTTTTTAGCAAACAAATTTAGTAGCAAATGTATTAAAACATCTGTAACTTCATCTAATTTTATGTCTGAGATTGTTTTATTGTTTTCGCTGTCACTTTAAATGTGATCATGACATCACTTTGTCTCCCTGCCTCTAGTGAAAACTGTCTGCACATTACTTTTGATGTTTTTTTYCCACTGTCATGACAACCCCTTCACCACCCATCATTAATGATTACCTTCTGTTCAGTGAAACTGATGCCACTTTAATGGAGACGAGTCACTGTTGTGATTGTTGTTTCACTTCCTGTTTCCTGATGAGACTAATAAAAATCAGCATGTACCTCCCCACTTCCTGGTTCCTCTTTTTCTTCTTGATGAGTTGTCTCACTTTGTTTTCAGTCCTCCACCTTTCACCTCTCACTTTTCCCCATTTCAGTTTCACTGTGTCCTGTCAGTTGTGTAGAGCTGGACGAGGATCTAGATCCAGCATGAAAACTTCCACTCCACCGTAACCCTGATTCAGATGTTCATTGTAGTAGGTGGGCTTGATTGACGATGCTCCAATCTTCCCTACAGAAGAGCTGACAGAGCTACAAAATCAAGGTCTCAACTAAAGCTCAGAAAATCATTAATATTTTCATAAAATAAAACACATAGCTACCTACAAAAGAACGTTTTTATTAATGATTCATGTCTCACGAGAAACATATTAAGATAATGATGCCTGATTTGTTGGGTGGGTCAATAATGCTGGTGGCGATAATGATGGCAAGAACATCAAAATAAAAGGAACATTTTGAACATAATGACACTTAAAACAATGGTAGCTTATCTTTTACGGTTTCCATGAAAAATCGTTTTCTTAGAGTTGAACACTTTGATGCAAATATAAAGTTCTTCAAACTTGAGCTGCACAATGTTGGGGAAAAAAGGATGTTGCAATTTTTTCCAACCCTGAGGTATGTATGTTGCAATATGAAAAAATACAGGAATTTTCAACAAATGACTGCTGCCATGTCGTTGATGATGAACCTGCACCGATCTCGCCTCTTTTTTGTGCACATTACACCAATGTTTTTAGTCTGTGTTTGAAAATTATTCCAAAGTTACTCCAGAAAACATCACCATTATTGTCCCAGAAGTTTTACAACAAAATGAAAGTTTGACCTTTTTTGATATGAAGCTGCCGCCTTCTCCCGGTGTAAGCAACTTGTCAAAATCCGTAACATGTGACATTTTAGTGCAATGACTTGTTTTCAGTGGTTTAGTCCCTATGACAAATACAAAATATAAAATTTACCTCCGAAATTGCAGGACTGTTGTACACACGTACATGGCAATGACGATAATGAATTATTGAGGAGCTCTAATTAGTTCTAAGTGATATAAACTCTTGGTTCTAATCAAACATTTACATWCTGTTTTGCAACACATATTTCTTGTAGCATGACTTTCTGAGGTGATAAACATGTAAACAGAGGTGGTAGGTTTATGAAACAGTGTTTTTTGAAATTGTAGTTGTGAAACAGCAGAACTCTAAACTGAAAGTGGACATTAGATTGACTCCCACATGAGAATTTCTTTCATTCTTAAAGTTGRGTTTTGTTTGACTGCTGTCTGCTGCAGGTAACATACAGACCGCTAACATTCACAAAATCCCACTTCGGTATCGTCAAATCCCTTTGCAAGTTTATTAGAATGTGACTGTTCAACAGCCAAAGTTTATGAATGTGAAAAGTACAGTGAAGCCACAGCTTTAAAATAAACTTTAGTTGAAAAGTACTGTAATACAATTAAGCTTTTGGATATTTCCTCTTGAGGTGTAATAATTATTAGCTCTGGCATTCCTCCTGGGTAAGTAATGAAGATCTCTTTATGATTGATGCTGATTTTGTAGTGTTTTACAACATGTAAATGTCTTATTTTGTTTTGTTTTCTCTCAGCTTGAGGTCACAGAGGGAACACCTGACTTGGGGGTGACTCCTTATTGGACGGATGCAGAAGGAAATGTGGTTTTTGGTTCACCAAAAGAAAAGATGAAAACCACCATCACTGGGACAAAAACACAGAAACAAAACAGTGAGAAGATTTAAATCAAATGCACATATGGACATTTCCAATGTTACATAACTCATTATTAGATGTTTTCTTGCAGAATCTACTGCTGCATCTCCTGCTACAAAAGTGGAAGGAAAAAARGGAAGCATCAAAGGAGAGCTGAAAGAGAAGAAAATGACAGAAGATGCTACTGCAGAGTCAAAAGCTGCAGATTCAGAAGCACCAGAGGTTTCAAAATGTGACTCTGACCCACCAGTGACTCCTGGTTTCTCAGACACCCACAAACAACATGAGACAGAAATCCTTAAATGAATTCTCAAAAAATATTTTTATTATTCTATGTTTGTGAGCTTTTGAACACAGAAATTGTATTTGTTCATCAACAACTATAATCAAACATATTCCGAAAGAATACTGACATGGTAAGGTTAGAACCATCTACGTATCGAGATCTGAACTTTTCTGAGTGTGTTTTTCCACCTTGTATTCCTGAATAAAGAATCTGTTTTATTATTTTCAAATTGTGTGTTTTGTGATAATTAAAAAATGTGCAAGTGACACAGGTTTTAAGCAGTACAGCACTGTCACACTGATGGGTAGAATAAATGAACTGCGCCAAATTCTTGGGTTGAAACAGGGCAGAACTAATGCCAGTCAGCAAGTGAACCAGTTGTACAAGTAAAAGATGATAGCTTAACAACTTGTATTATTTTTACATTTATCAGGCAAACCATTGCTTTGAGTTAGAGTACATCAAAACGTATCCTTTCTATATTATGTCATTTAAGCAAATTTTAATCACAACGAAAAAGCAAAAAAATTAAATAAATAAAAATAAATGAAGTAAAATAATGTAAAAAAAAAAAACTCTAGTAATGAGGAAACCTGACCTTCCTGGTGTTTCTTTTGAGGAAGTGAAAACAATTACTTCCCTCTTCAGAATGTGTGTTTTTCCCCCCTACAAACATGCAATAGCCTGACAGCACAGTTGCTAATGTTTTCTTTTCTTTTCTTTTCTTTTCTTTTCTTTTCTTTTCTTTTCTTTTCTTTTCTTTTCTTTTACCATATAGTTTTCCTTACTGATCCAACAAGCAAATCCTTGAAATTCCTCTAGCTGCTGCTCATTGGCTGTCGATGACATCTGACCTCAGACCAGAGAAAACACAAAGCTCCTTGGCCCTCTGAATGTTACTGTAGGGCAAAACAATTAGAAATTTTCAGATATAAAATATCATTTTTAATTTTGTATTTGACTACAGTGGTTTAAGACAAAGAATTAGAACTGATAATATGTGAACCTACCCATTTGTTTTTTTTTTTTTTTGTTATAGAAAAATATATAGTCTATTCACACTATTTATGGTTTGAATCATGTAATTATGTAATAATTGGCTATAACAAACGACGATTTTAATATTCCAAATTACAATAGTTAAATGAAAAATCATAAAATAAACATTTATGAGACAATCTTGATATTTTGAGGTTGCACTGCAGGAAAACACCGTCGATCGTTATAAAAGTGTAGAATTTAGTTCTCATAATTAACTCCATCACCTGCTCTCCTGCGTCGCTGTAACGCGCTGCCTCATTGGAGCAGCCGGGTCACGTGGTGCGCTCAGCTTCAAGCACCAACACAGCAGCATCAACAATCTGACTGAGGAAGAGCAGAGGGAYACACGGACTGTCTGCTTGAACCTCCACTCTCCAGCAGGTAGCTACAAACAAATAGCATATTCTCTTTACCTCCAAAGCAGTTTAGCTCCTAACACTTCCAGGAGATAAAACCAATCATATTTTATGTTTATATCGCCGTTTTCAGAACTTGTGTCTAAAGTTATTACGGAAAAGTCACGAGCCCTAATTGCCTACTTCAAACGGACCGCGAAGTTGTCATCTTCTCAGAAACTTGTTACCTATTACGGAACAATTATTTTGTTAAATTTGCACTGTTTCGTACCTGTGAAGTCATTTTAACCTTCAATACTCCATGTAAATGCTTCGCTACTGGTTTGTTGTTAAAACTAGTTCACAGAACTTGGACAAATAAAAAATATTTTTGCATACTTATGTAATCCAGAGACCAGAGGTGTTTATGTACATGGTAAAACTATTTTAGTAACATTACGTAACTAGTAAAGATAGACCATTTCCCCCCTCATTCTGCTTACTCACAAATGTTTTATTTCTCAGAAATCATATGAATCATACATTTAAAGTACCAGTTGAATAAAGCAATGCATTTGTGAATTAACTGTTAAAGTCGGTTTCCAAGCTACATTTAATATAATCTATAACCTTCAAAATGTAAGAACGTGTATAGTTTTTTACCTGCTTTATTTATTATTATTTTTTAAAAATTTATTTAAGAAATTGGATCATTACTTTTAAAAATAAGCAATGTGAACAATTTTGACACTGAGAGGATATTTGGTTGTTACACTGTACCTCATGACTGCTGTTGTTTGGTTGTAAACATTCACTGAGGCTGCAACAGAATATTAAGATTTAAACCACTCTGGGACATCATCAGTTCACAACATCACCAATGTGTTTCAAGAAATAGTACTCAACACCATGTCTTCAAATGTTCTGTAAAATGATAAAGAAATAAACAGGGGCATTATTAAGCATTTCCCCCTACTAATTCTTAAAAAAAAAAAAAAGAAAATGGTCTATACTTTTGTTATTTTGACTTTTATTTTAGGTTACAATTCATGGAGTTTGATTGGTTAACATGACATTAATGTCTTTCTTATTTCATATATTTTCTGAAAAATTCACCATTTATTTCAAAGCCTCTTTCAAAAAAACTACTTTAAATTACTCAATGCAGTGAAACCATATTTAATTGATAAACTGAATCAGACATATATTACATTTGCCAAGAGCTGATAGTTGAAAACAAAACCTGTAAACTCAAAGACCACAACATTGAGTCACGTGGGAACATAGTGAAGGGGAGGGACGTAAAGAGAAAGCTAGATTTGTTCTAATCTTGTAAACAGGATTAACACGTCTTAAAAGTTAGTGATGTCACCCCACTGAGAGCGGGAGAGAGAGGGAGAGATGTGTAGATTACTGTGCTGATAAAGTAGGCTACAGGCTATTTTGTGTTGTAACCAAAATATGATCCAGAAAACAACGTATTAATGCGAGCGTACTGTAGGAGATGTGACTAAAGCTCTGTAAAACATGGTTTTAAAACAAACATTTACCCACTATGTGCCGTTGAATTTCACTGAATTGCTAGAGCTGAAACAGTTCGACTTTGATTTTTAATGAATGGCTTTGTGGTGTTTTGTTAGCAGTTTTAAACCTTTTGATTTATTTTATTTGCTGCATACTTTGATATATCAATAACAATAAAAGTTTCTAATCAGTTCATAATAATTATCAGCTTTATAGTGAAAATATTACTTTTCTTGTCAATATTGGTGTTTTTTTTTTTAGATATTACAAGATCTGTGTAAACAATGCACTTTATACTTTATGCAGGTATCGGTCGAGGTCAGTTCAAACTGGTACTGAAAGGAATGAAGGTTAGAGTTAAGTCAATATAGATTTAAACATCATACTTCCCAACGTTAAGGACTTAAATGGCCTTGCTCTTACACCACGGACTCATTGACCACTTTACCCTCCTGCGATTCATTGAGTCACGTGCAGCACAGTGCGGTCTGCATGAAGTGCCGTGGGGGGGTAAAACTCCAGCTGATTTTAATGTACAGACAGTGGGCAGCCTGTTCACCGGGGAGATCTGCCAACGTGACATAGTGTTGCTGATGTGGAAACTTCTGCTTTGTTTATTAAATTGTTAAGCTCTCAGTTCTGCAGTGTGCTGTGGTTCACAGAGAGAACCCACAACCCATTACAGGAGAACAATGCACAGTGTAACCTTGTTATCAGCAACACTGTTTCACAACGTGGCTTTGCCATTCAGCAACCTTTGTGCCTTAATTATAACTGAGTAATTGCTAAGTCAGATGATTAATTGAATGTGATTTGTTTTACGCAAACACGAGTTTCAGTGGATTGAATTGCCTGACTTTGCTTTGTTTTACGTCTTGTGCCATCAGCAAGTTAAATGTGACGTTAACGCACTGCAGCATCAATATCTGAGTCATTCAAAGATTAGAATGAGCCTCCAAGCTGTTTTGCAATGAGACTTCTAGAGCCTAGGACAGTGGTGGTCAGGGACTGGTGCTGACATAGATTATATGAGCATTTTGGAGTTCAGAGTGGGGAGATTGTTTTCCCCCTCAAACTGCACGAAAGATCTCAGAAGCTGTGGTGTGCGGCACTGAGCCGAGGAGGCTGCCTGAGGTGGGGAACAGGGAGGGAAGGTTTGAGTTAATGCTGCTGGAGTAACATGCTGCTCTCAGGAAGAACACCTGCACAGCAGCACAACCAACAGCTGCGTCTGAAAGCCTCCTGGACTCTGGTGAGTTCAGACCCTGCTTCTGAGTATTCTGAGGGATGTTCAGCCTTTTTTTTTTATTTGTTCTGGATCTCTGTCATTACAAATTTACACTGACACTGGCATTTTATTTTAGTTTTAGGCGATTAATAATGCATATTCAGAAATATGTTTTGCACTTTGCAAAATTATTTAAATACATCTGAATTTTTTTGTTTATAACTTGCCAGAGAGATGGAACAGGCGTGGAACCTGTTAGAATTTGATCCTCTTGTTTTTTTTTCTAAATAATTTTATTACTGGCAAGTGATTTAACACCTTTTTTTGCCAGTACTGCTTCAAAAGTTAACATTCAGTTTAACTAAAATATAATAAAAAGGAAAACATTCAACTATGACCAAGTTAATAAAAAAGACAATTTAATTGTCTTTTTTGTTGATCACTTGCCTAGTTATCATATCAAACATATTGATTTGCTGTAAATATTTTGTTTATCGGAAAACCTTTTCACAAACTACTTCTAGCCTCACCTCTAATAACAACCCTAACTTCAGTCCATTTACTTTTTATATAATTATGACACTAATATGAAAATCCTGTTATGTGAATACAGACAAGAAAGCAGTTTTTTTTAGAGCTCTTCATTAGTGCTAATTATTGAGAGTGAAAACAGAACCTCTCAACTCACTGGCAGCATGAATCATATTGTAATCCTGGTATCAGTATTAAGTCAGCAGTTTAAAACACTTGTCATATAATAAAAACCACGGAGAGACTGTGTTTAGACTGTCGGGTTGTTTGTTTTCATATTGGCCATTTATTCAGTTCTTATCAGCAGCAGTTTGTGTTGTATAGTTCAAATCTGTTAAAGAAACAATGTGGTTCTTTTGAAGCGAGGTTTTGTGCAGTATTTCTAAGTAATCAGCATCCTATCTGCAGCAAACAGCTGTCAGATTGATTTCAGTTTGTAGGGAGGAACTCTGATGGAGGAGTCAAGTTAACATACGTATGTTCAAAGCATATTTCAAAATAAATAACTTTAACTTTTAACCTTAAACTAGTTGGAAAACTTTGATTTGTTTTAGGGCTGCCACAAACGATTATTTTAATAATCGATTAATCACCGATTATTTATTCGATTAGTCGACTAATCAAATCATACATTAATTGAATATAAAACATACAGCTTATCACGTCAGAATGCAGCTGCTATTATATAACCATGGTTAGATTTTAGCTATATGCTAACTAAAAATAAYTGCWGTGGAAGGCAAGTTCTGCTCTGCAGATATTGCACAGGTTTCTCTTTCATTTTCTTAAAATGATCCCACACTTTTGAGCTCCGTTGCTGGGTAGCCATGATACCTGAGCCTGTCTGTATAATGTCTTGTGACGTCCACGGCCTACCCCAGTTACCACTACTGTGCATGTGTGTCAAGGACAGAAAGGCAGATGTGGCAGTGGAAGGTGTCAAAGCAGTTTGGAGAGAAAAACAAAGTAAAGAACAACAAACAAAAAACAAAGAAAACGATTAATCGATTATTAAATTAGTCATCGGTTATTTTAATAATCGATTAGTCGTCGATTAATCGATTAATCGTGGCAGCCATAATTTGTTTAAGATAACATAAATTTGCTCTTGAACAGCTAGACTCCTTGAGAATTTCTTCCAGATTCTCCTGGAAAAAAATAGACTTTCTGGTTATGTGTGTGTGTGTGTGTGTGTGTGTGTGTGTGTGTGTGTGT